CTTTCTTTCTTTCTTTCTTTCTTTCTTTCTTTCTTTCTTTCTTTCTTTCTTTCTTTTTTTAAGACAGAACTTCTCAATGTACCTAGATTACATTGTACACTGAGTAGCTAGATCGGCTGGCCACTCAGCTTTGGGATTCTGCCTGTCTCCACTCACCCACTTCCTTGATCCAGTATTAGGGTTATAGACATGTATCACCAATGCCATGCCTACTCTTTTTATATAGGTGTTGGCGATCTGAACTCGTGTCCTCACACTTGACACATAGATTCTTAACTCACTACAGCAACTCCTTTGCTCCCACCGTGAGTGTGTAACAACAGTTAGAGCCCGTCATCTTCATCCTTCACCCACAGCATCACCTCCTGCTTCAGTCTCTCCCATGTCTTAACACTTCTGAAAAGTCAACCTGTGTATTCAAATATTGGATGACAATTTCTCATTGTTTAAAACTTTTAAACAAATGAAAATAGCATTCAAAAATCTACTTAAGGAGGCACAAACAAAAAAATACGTGCTGTACAAAATGTTGCTAACTTGGAATGCTAATTTCAGCTATAAAATATTTTAAGTGAAGACTTGTGTTAATGTTTTCTTTCTTTTTTTCTTATTTTCTTGGGTCACATGTTAGTTGACCTGGGAGAAAATGAGTGACTGGAATGTGTAGCCACTTCCCCACATATCACAGAATTTGGGTGATAACCCTGTTCCTGAAATTCCTGAAGAGTTTGCTGTGTGGTGAGAAACTACAAACTGATTCACACATGCTGTGGGATATCTTTCTATGTGCTGTGAATATGTGTTGCTCTGATTGGTTGATAAATAAAGCTGCAGTGGCCTATGGCAGGGCAGGATGGAGCCAGGCAGGAAAATCCAAGAGAGATTAGAGAGAGAAGAAAGGAGAGTAGGGTAGACACTGCTAGCCGCTATCAGGAGAAGCAAGATGTAAAAGAACCGGTCAGCCACAAGCCACATGGCAAAGTACAGATTTATAGAAATGGGTTAATTTAAGATGTAAGAGATAGCTAACTAGAAGCCTGAGCCATTAGGCCATATAGTTTGAAAATAGTATAAGCCTCTGTGTGTTTATTTGGAACCAAACGGCTGCGGGACATGGTGGGAGAGATTCATCCTGACCACAGGGCCCAGGGCTGGACACAAGAAAACATCCAGCTATACACATGGACAAGGTGTAGTGAAGATGAGGTTTCAGCAAAAGTTACTTCACGTTATGTGTCTGGGCTGACTTATTAAGTGCCTAAAAACATTAAGTTTTCTTTTATAATTGTTCAGTAAGCATAACCACATTACTTCAGTAGAAAATAGACCAATCTAACTTGTTTTCTGATACTTTTATCTTGAATTACCTACTTCATTTGGTGGAAAAAATTATTAAATTTGAATCAAAACAAAAGTCTAAAAGAGGAGAAAATTTTATAGATTTCATCATCAGTAATCCCCTGACTCAGGTTTATCATAATGTAGTGTAGTAGTATGATTAGGAGCCTTGCTTTTGACTCCTGCGAGAGTCTTTCTTTTTATCTAACAGAAAAACTTCTTTTGAGGATAAATTCATTTCCATTGAATATTAAGTAATGTGAAAGACCTCTCCCAAGAATGGAGAGAGTGCTAATTGATGAGATGATTCCTTACCTAACTCCAGTCTACTTCTAAGGTTCCTGGAGATTACCATAGCGCATCAGGAGAACTGTGCAGAGAGAAGGACAAACCAGCTAAAATGAAGAGTGTGTGGAAAAGTCGTTTGGAAAACTATCTTCAAACTAAAATAGAAAAATGGAATGGAACTCTTGTGTGTGTTAGTTGGCTAGAAAGAACCATCAATGTTCTTAAGAATTTGTGAACTTTATGAGTCACAAAACCAATAAGCAGGGCAAGCTCTGAAATAGTGGTACAGCTCTTACTGGTAACCAACCATCTTCTGATCGCATCTGAGGCCTGCTCTATGAGAAGGAACTCATGGAAGTTACTAAAAGCCCAGTTAAGAAGTCAAACCTAAGGAGTTTGTGGACTTGTGAGATGTGATCCTAATTAGTCTCAACAATAAAAGCCCAGAATCAGATATTAGGGTGAAAGCTGAAAGATCAGAGAAGCAGAGCAGCCACAGTCACTTCTTACCTGCTGTAGGCCAAAGGAATATCATAAGAACTCAGCTGGTTGTGGCAAAGTCACTACCTGGAGGGATCATGGAATTCCTCCAGAGGAAGCCAAATCTCAAGGAGTTTTTGTGTTACTTAGCTTGTTATATATCAGCTGTCTTCTGTTGTGAAAATCATGTGTGCCTTCATAGTTTTCCCAATTGATTTTTCCCTAAGAAAGGCTAACAGTGTAGACTGATCACTCTCTAGACATATACATTCCAGGCATTTGGAGAACAGCCTCAGGAAAGGCTTTCTCTGGAATCAGATATCTCCCCTAGCCACTTTCAAGGACTAAAGGAGACACCACTCAGGTGGTCACCCAATTTCCGAGGACTAACAGTGATAACAGCCCACATAGAAGTCTCCTGACTTAAGGTAAATTCCACAAGGGGACACCGCCTAGGTCAGGTAGACATTTAGTAATAGCTTTACACAATTTAGCTCGGAACCTCCCTTTATATACCGGGACTTTCAGGGCACAGGGGGAGAGAAGAGAAAAGAGAATGGGAGAACTAGACAGGTAAGAACTTGAGAGGAACAAACTGAGATGGGGAAGAACTAGATTGAAGGGCTAGAAGAGAGTACCAGAGGAATGAGATGGAAGATGAGGAAGAGCCAGATGAGGAAGAGCCAGATGGGTAAGAACAAGATAAAAAGGACCTAGATGAGGCAGAGTTAAGACAAGAGAATTAAGATAGAACTTAGAGGGAGCAATAGATAAATATAGAGAGAAATCAGGCAAGAAAGGAGCTAGACATGAGAACAGAACTGAAGCTGTGTATAAAGGATGTTATGCCAGAGGAATTAAAGCAAGTGGACTATAGAGCTCGGTGTGCTGAGATTCTATTTCCTGAAAATAGTCCTTGCCGTTAGTAGTTCTCTCTCCTGAGCCCCTGGGATGTATAATATTGAGGCTGCTTCCTCTAATATTATACAAGACTTACCTCTCTAAGAAATCTCAGACCAAATGGGGCAATCCTGTCTCTAGGAATCCTCAGACAGAATGGGGGAAATCCTGTCTCCACCAGCCTTATATTCCTATCTCCACCTCCCTAGTCCTGGGATTAAAGGTCTGTGCCACCAATGCTCAGCTCTGTTTCTCTTTAAGATTGATTTAATCTTGTGTAGGCCAGGGTGGCCTTGAACACCTGATCTTCCTGCTTCCTCCTCCTAAGTGCTAGGATTAAAGGTGTGTGCCACCCCTGCCTGGCCTCTGTGGTTAACTGGTGGCTAGGGAAAAATGACGGAGCTCATATATGTACCATGTAAGAAAACTTAAGCTAAAATTTTAATGTGTCATTAAAGTAAAGGCCAGTAAGATTGGAGTACTCCGAGATGTTCAAAACACAATCTTACATATTCTCACATAGTCTTCTACACTCAGGTTTTAATTCCAGTATCCCTTATTTAATCATAAAAATTAGAATCAGAAAGGATAAGTAGATAAAAGTCCCTCATGGTGCATACCTAGATCAGAAGGGGCATTCCAAAGGAAAGGCAAAAGATGAACTCCTTGATGTAGTTGGAGTTCAAAGAGGAGAGAAAGACAGCAGTCCTTTTCACTCCTGTATGCAAGTGTCAATCTGTTTTCCTTGGGTAAACTCCGGAGATGGTGTAAGTTCCAATTATCAGAGATCTGTTTCCACTCAGGCAAGGGCAGGGTCCATGAGAAAATACTATGCAGGTCACTGAAGGTGTAAAAGAGTATCAGAGAATTCCCCCAGTCTCTAATTGCTAGGCTACTAAGCATGAAGTCCCAAACAGCAGGAGGGATGTGTAAGACCATGGACAAGACCTTCTACGGTATAGATACAGAAAGTCTAGTACTAATGGTGAACTAGAACCATGGAGAACACTATCTGACAAATTGATCTTATCTGAGAACACCTAGTTGAGAAGAAATTGGAAATGAGTGGTATTCTGATGGTAATGAAGGCAATGGCCAGAAATGAACTCATCCAATTCTTTGACCAGATTGACTCATGCATTCCACTGTTAGCAAAGGAGAAGAAGGCACACATCAGCTCACAGATTTAAATGCTATTGACAAACTGTAATATGTTCTCTGACTAAACCAAAATCAAAACAGCAATTCACTACAAAATCTGAGCCTTGAAAAGATAAAGCACACATTTCTACATAACTTGTGGGCAGAAAAAAAAAATTCTCAAATGAACTCTGAAACTATTCTAAATTTAAGAAAAAGACAAATATCAAAAACTGGGAATAGAAGCCAACAGCACTTGCAGAGAAACTGAAAATATTAAACACTTGTTTTAGAAAAGATGTGAGTCTGAGGACAGTTTCATTGTTAACTAGATAAAGACAAAACAAAAGTAACACACACACACACAAAGAAAGGAAGAAAGAAGGAATGAAGGAGGGGGGAAGGAGAGAGACAGAAGGGAAGAAGAAGGGAGGGAGGCAGGGAGGAGAGAGACAGAGACAGAGACAGAGAGACAGAGAGTCAGATTTCACCCCGAGATAAAACACCCGAGAAAGTCAATGTGAAGGTGTAGTGGGGACATTTATTTGGCTCGTGGTTCCTTGGTCACTGGAATCAGTTTTCCTCACTTGCAGTGAGGCTGAAACATCATGGAGAGAGTTTGGTCGGAATAAAAGGTGCTGACTTCATGGCAGCCAGGTGTTGTGCCATATTTTGTTTGTGTTCTGACAAATAAAGCTTGTCTGGAGATCAGAGGGTAGTACTAACTACTAGTTAGCCATAGAGGCCGGGCAGTGGTGACACACACCTTTAATCCCAGCATTTGGCAGGAGGAAGCAGGAAGATCAGGAGTTCAGTGCCACGCTGGGCTACAGGAGATTGAACCAGTCTAAAAGAGAAACAGCCAGTTGGCGGTAGCTCACAACTTTAATCCCGGCACTTGGGAGGATCATTGCCTTTGATCCTAGCACATGGGAGACTCATGCCTTTAATCCCAGCACTAGGGAGGCAGAGACAGGAAAATAAGGGGGTGGAGACAGGATATCTGCCCCCCCCCTATTCAGTCTAGGAATTCACAGAGATAGGACCCCATGCCTCACTACCACCACCCCGACCCACTTTGGTTGGAGGATTCGTAGAGATAATAGGTCTCTAGTATAGTGGCTGCTTCTCTGATCTCCAGGCAAGTTTTATTTGTCAGAATACAAACAAAATATCATACAACAGTCAGGATCAAAAGAAAGTGAGAGAAAAGGACCAGGGACAAAATATAACCTTCAAAATTCTGTCTTAAGCGACCTGCTTCCTTCAATGAGATGCTATTAGATTTTTTACTACTTTCCAATATTCCATTCAGCTCTGGGTAAATCAGTGACTCTTCCCTTGATAAGGCCAGAGGCCCTATGATCCAGTAAATCCTCAAAGACTTCACCCTTGAATACTTTTTCATTTTAGTACAAAACCTGCACATAGGAGCTTCTAGAACTGTTTCAGAACCGCTAATAAGCAATAAACGCTAATATTGGGGGTGGAGGGCAACAGGAAAACTATTCAAAAATTTAAAAAAATTGGCTTCTTGTTTATGAAAGATAATAAAAAGGAGTGATTCTAGTCAGATTTGCCTAGAAAAAACACAGAATTATGGATTTTAGATTTTTCTATTATACATGTTAACATATGATGCTTTTTCATCTTATAAATAATAAAAACAATATAAATAACCTCATGACTATAAATCTTGGCAGTAGAGAAGATGGTCAGATTTCTTAAAAGATAAAAAAAATACCAAATTTACCAAAACCTATTTAAGATAAATGAATAACATGTTTAGTCTTATTTCTAGTATAGCAGACAAATATTTGGTTAAACATATATGGATATAAAAAAACATAGATAGGCTTCCTTATAAGTTGGTTTTATTGGAAACTTTATCAAATATGTAAAGAAACATAATAAAATTCTGCATTAAATTTCCCAGAAAACATAAAAGATGAGACTAATAATTCCCCATGTGTATTTAGTGTAGTATAAATGTAAAACCCCAAATCAGCATAAAGAAAAACTACAAGAAAAAAACTTAACCGAATAACATGACTCATAAATATAAATGGAAAATACTCAAGAAAATTAAAACTAGCTTTACATAAAAAAATCACGATAAACTAATATAATTTCACTGTAAGCTGGAACAAAAAACAGAAAAATCACAGAATTGTTTCAATCAATGTTAAAGAATACTTTGATGAAATACCTTTCCATATTAAATTCTCAGCTTTAGGGGTGATTTAGGTAGAGCTGGGTGAGGAGGAGAGAATAAGACCAAAACTTTCAGAGTCATAGATTTTTAGATGTGTTTGTTTTTAGTGTGTGTGTGTGTGTGTGTGTGTGTGTGTGTGTGTGTGTGTGTGTGTGTGTGTTTTCCCTGCATATATGTCTGTGAACCACATGCATGCCTGATGCCTGCAGAGATCCAAGGAACTGGAGTTACAGTTGTTGGTGAGCTGGGAATTGAACCTGTACTCTCTGGAAGAGCAACAAGTGCTCTTAACTGCAGCACCATCTCTCTGGGAAACTTAGCCAAGTACTCAGGGATAGTGATGTCATGGGTTTTGAAGGAGACCCTACAACCACCACTTAACTGTATCAGCACAGTCGTTAAATACCTCCTAAAGATTTGTCTTCATGCCCACAGAAAAGTGTAGTTCTCATCTCTCAACAAGTAAACTTGTCAGTGCAACAGACAGGGACCTTTACAGAAAACCACAACCGACCCAACTGCAGAGTGTGCAGCTCACTCTGAATGGATACATCCACAAAATATTCTCACAGCTAAGGCTCACAGTACATGCATAAGATGGGCCAGAAGGTGCGTAAGAGCCAGATGATAGGGGAATTTGCTGTGAGACTGTGTACTCTAGTAACGTCAGAAGCTGCACCCACAAAGCTGGACCACAATGGATCTGATAAAGTGGACTGGAGAAAGCCCACAGACCCCATCCTACACAAAGAACCAGCAGCACCTAAAGAATACTGACAGTGGGAGT